AACCTTGTGGCACCCCACTGCTTACTTCCCTCCATGTAGACTTAGACCCCTTAAGGACTACTCGTTGAGTACAGTTTGCCAGCCAGTTGCGAGTCTATCTAGTGGTGGTGCTATCTATTCCACTTTTTTCTCGCTTACTAAGAAGTAGGTTGTGGTCTACTTTGTCGAATGCCTTGCTGAAATCTAAATATATTAAGTCCACGGTATTTTGCTGGTCTACTAATTTAGTCACCGTGTTGAAGAATGAAATAAGATTAATTTGGCATGATCTGTTCTTAACAAACCCATGCTGACTGCTAGTTATTACTTTACTTGTTTCTAGATGTTGGCAGATCTGTGTTTTTATTATCTTTTCCAGTATCTTCCCAGGTATTGATGTCAGGCTGATTGGTCTATAGTTTCCTGGGTCTATTTTTTTTACCTTTTTTGAAGATGGGAACCACATCAGCTCTTTCCCAGTCCTCCGTTAGTTCCCCGGTGCTCCAGGCTTCATTTAACTTCTTTATAAACATATGAAGTAAATTTTACAATACCAGTTGTAGATTTCTCCAACATGGAGCAAACTCAAACAGAAGCAGACATGTTACAGGTCCAGAGCAGAACAGCAACTCAAGAGCTCAGAAACAGACCTCAGTTTCACTTTAGTTCAGCAGGCAAGCAAGACACACAGCAGAGGAGAGAAGCAGTCTCATTCTCAATAGACAGACTCAGAGCTTAACATAACTTCAGGGCTGCAGAGCTTAATATAGAGCCGTGCCTAGGCTACTTCTAGTTTCAGTTTCCAAACAGTCCTCATTGGCTGATTTAGTTCCTATGCCTATTCATTGGCTGACCTTGTTACCATGCTCTATTCCAGTCCATGGATATACTCTGACATGTTGTGCCATGTGTTTGCTCAGTTTGTGTCTGGGTGTTTTATCCTTGCGGCGGACAAACCATTCCCAGCCATTCAGTCAGAGCTGAAGAAGCTTCTTGGAGGAGAAGCAAAATGTCTTCAATGAAAAACCAGAAAGTCCAGTTTCCTCTTGAAAAAAAAAAGCACCTTTGGATGGCTGAGAACCTCCGTAGCTAAGATTTTTTTTGCTTTTACAGGTTCCGGAACAAAATTGTAACAAGTAAGATCAAATCAGGCGAATAATGGGAACATAGACCTAAATGTCTACAGTATCTGCCTTGAGGCACCTCTGATTAAAATAATCACATTTTACTGGTAGTTTTTCACTTACAACCGTTCTTTTATTGACCATTGAAAGTTGCATCAGCATGGGAAAAATGACTTATGACTGTTTTTCACACTTAACAACTGTTGCAGCATTCCCAGGTTCACGTGATCAAAATGCAGATGCTTTGGCAACCGATTCATAGTTATGACAGTCTCAGCATCCTAGGGTCAGGCGATCCCCCTTCGTGACCAACGGGGAAGCCAGGTTCACTTTACAACCGTTTTTCTCACTTAACAACTCCAGTGATTCATTTAGAAGCATGGCAAGAAATGGGGCAAAACTTTCTGAACAGATGTCTTGCTTAGCAACAGAAATATTGGGATCCGGTTGCAGTCGTAAGTCATACGGGCAGTGCCGTGGCATAGAGGTGGAGCTCTCGCCTCACAATCAGGAGACTGTGAGTTCAATCCTAGGTAGAGGCTGAAATTTCTCTCTCTGGCACAATGTGAATATATCTGCTGTGAACTCCACATTGGTGACAGGAAGGACATCCGGCCAGTAAACACTCAGCTCCATCCAGTCTCCCATCTCCACCCCAAATTAAAGGATTACAAGGTCGTAAAAAAGGCAGTTTTTATCTTTAAACAACTGTTGGGGTCTAGGGAAGCCAAGCCAAACCATTAGTGTTTCTCGAATACAAAGGCAAGAGTGTTTTACTACAGCTCGCTGGTCTGTTGAGAAGTAAAAAGGGATTGCCGGGAACTAGGAGTAGTTTGCCTAAAGGGAAAAAAATGAAAAAGGGCACAATGTGAATATATTTGCTGTAAACTCCGCATTGGCAACAGGAAGGGCATCTGGCCAGTAAATACTCAGCTCCATTCAGTTGCCCACATCCACGCCGATGCAAGGGACGACGGGGTCATTAAAAGACCCAAACACACACACACACACACACACACACACACACACACACACACACAAACTTGCAGTTTTAAAATGAGCCCCCCCCCCCCCCCCGCATTAATTAATTAATTAATTTTGCATGCAAATTATCTGCCGTTTCCCTCTCCGTAGACCGGAGAGGTTTTTACATCGATCAAGATCTCAAGCTAGGATTTGCTTTTAAAGCTTCAGGAACCAAATTGTTAATGGGTAAAATCAAATAAGGAAAATAATAAGAACACAGGCAGGGCTACCAAGTAATCTGCCTTGAGGCACCTCTGATTAAAATGGTCCCATTTTGCAGTATTTTTAAATACATCAATAAGAGAGAAAGACGTTTACCCTTTTTTTTCTCTCTCTCTCTTTTACGTTTCACTTGTTCAGCATCGCGGCGGGCCAATTTCTCTGGAACCAGAGCTCCCTTTTTTAATTTTTAATTCTCTCGGCAAGCTTTTCCAAGGATTGCTAGATAAATATGAGTGGGAAGAGGGGAATTTCAGGGGATTATCGGAACGATGGAAGGGATCATTCTTTGGAAGGGGAAATTTTGAGAGGAGCAAAAACTAAAAATAATAAAAAAAATCATTGAAGAACTCAATAAGTAAATCAGGAAGAAAAAAAATTGGTTTAATAAATCAATCATAAAATCTCAGCAGTACATTTCCAGGAAGCCGAAAGCCTGATTTTTACCCTTCCATCATTCTCTGCTTTTAACACCGATAAAAGAGACAGAAAGGAATATCTTTTGTTCTCGAGAAAATGCTGGATTTATTGTGTCTTTGTTTCCTGTGACAAAGGCCAAGGGGATATTTTTGCTCGTCTCTTTGGCCTCGGCTTCTTGGATGATGCCAACAGCAATTTTCACTTCAGCCAGATATTTTCATATGCTGTAGTAGAAGTCCAAAGTCTTCCTCCCAGAGCAGATGTTATTATATTCCTACCTGCCAGGAAAAGATAGAGAAGAAAAAGGAAGGAAAGCGTTAGAGCAAACATTAAAAATGAAAGATTTTAAAAAGGTTTCTGGGAACAGCTGCGCCTTCCCTGTGCATGGGTGAATCCCAGTCCAAAAGCTCACTGTAGAGGAGAAGGACAGAGCATCAGAATATTAGAATTGGAAGGGACCTTGGAGGTCTTCTAGTCCAACCCCTTGCTCAGGCAGGAAACCCCGTACTATTTCAGATAAATGTTTGTCCAATCTCTTCTTAACAACTTCCAGTGTTGGAGCATTCACAATCTTTGGAGGCAAGTTATTCCACTGGTTAATTGCCCTCACTGTTAAGATAGTTTCTCCTTAGTTCTAGGTTGCTTCTTCCCTGGATTGGTTTCCACCCATTGCTTCTTGTCCTGCCTTCAGGTGCTTTGGAGAACAGCTTTCAACTTCCTCTTCTTTGTGACAGCCCTTGAAATATTGGAATCAGAGGTGGCATTCAGCAGGTTCTGACCAGTTCTGGAGAACCGGTAGTGGACATTTTGAGTAGTTCGGAGAACCGGCAAATACCACCTCCGACTGGAGATTTTGCAGTATCCTTCCCCTGCCATGCCCACCAAGCTACGCCCACATAACCGGTAGTAAAAAAAAAATTGAATCCCGCTACTGATTGGAATACTCCTATTTTGTCACTTCTGATGTATCGTTTCATTAGACTAGACATAACCCTAACCCTAACCCATCCTTGAAGTCTTGTCTTCAGTAAGTCAGTCAATCAATCAGCCTTCCTCCCTTCCTTCAAGTTTAAACTTTCTCCCTCCATCCCTTCATCCATACAATGCTTCCTTCCTTCTTCCTTCCTTCCCTCCCTCCCTCCAATACTTACTTACTCCCTCCCTCCTTCCTGCCTAACCCTAACCCTCCATACCTTCTCTGCCCATTACTAGCAATTCCATCCTGACCGCCTCCAGGTCGACTCAGCCTTCCCTCCTTCTGAGGTGGGTAAACGAAGACCCAGATTGTTGGGGGCAATAGGCTGACTCTATAAACCACTTAGAGAGGGCTGTAAAGCACTATAAAGTGGTATATAAGTCTAGGTGCTATCGCTCTTCCTTTTCTCCTTCCTTCCTGTTTTTGAAGGCCATCTACTCAGAGACTTTTGTGCTTCCTTGGGTACTTGGTTGGCCGGTGTTGGATGAGATGGGCCAGAGGTCTACTCCAGCAGGACAATGCTGATATTCTTAAAGTTCTCTCCTGTAATATATCAGATGTCATCAGCTTAAAAAATGAGTGATTGTATGAACTTCTTGATAACTTTGCTAAACTGATAAGAGGGGCTTAGCCTTTGGTTTCTGTTTAGATGTGAAGCATCTCCTTATTTTACTTATGGAAATTAAATAAAGTATATTCTACAAATAGTTTCCAGTCACAGATAGTAATGGCCAGTTGGTGTAATGGAGCACAGAAGTACAAGATGTAGCTACTCCCACTAAGATGGGTCTAGGTAGGACAACTCGCTATGGTCACTCATCACGGCCAACTTTCTGTGGGACAACTCACGATGGCCATTTGGCCAACTTGCCACAGGACAATTTAACACCGTATTAATTATTTCATTCAGTTATTTTTATTTTTGGTGACCATGTTTGAGTCGAAATTATTGCAACTCTTGCATTTCTGGACTGACTTTCTTTGTTTTATTATTTGGCCGAGGTTCTATTGAAATCAATTTAACTTTTCCATTTGTTAAATTGTGTCCTGTGATGTGCGTTTGCCAGGGCAAGTTGGCGTGCTGAGTTGCCCAATTCCAAACTAATATGCCAATATTGATTGAATTTCTCGTTCGCTGGCTTTCTTTAGATGAGAAGATCCCATAAACACTTTTTTTTTCTTGGTTCTTTTCTATTTCTCTCTGTATTCTGAAGTTCTCTCTGCCCGTTTCACATTTTTCCCCTTGTTTGGTTTAGTCTTGAAAGGAAGTCTACCTCCGGAAGTGTCCAAAGAAGATGTCTTATGGATCCATTGATGGCGGTGGGTTTGGTAGCAGAAATACTTTTGGAGGACCATCAAGGCAAGGATATCAACCTTTAGGTAAGTTGAACCCCATGTGTTAATTATTTTTTCTTCCCTGAATTTCTTTTCTTTAAAGTCATAACTATTGTTTTAATGGGTAATAGAACTCAGACATATCCAAGTACAAAATAGACGTTGAGACTTTGGGAAAAAAAACGTGCAGAGAAGAGCAACTAAGAGGATTAGAGGCCTGGAGACTAAAACATGCGAAGAACGGCTGCAAGAATTGGGTATTCCATTCTGGTGCTTTGGAAAATAGGTTGACCTTCTTCTTTTTTGTGGCAGCCTGTCAAATATTGGGACATTTTCATGTCTCCCTTAGCCCTTCTTTTCATTAGACTCAAAACACTTAATTCCTGCAACCATTCTTCGTATGTTTTAGCCTCCAGCCCTCTAATCATTTTCGTGGCTCTTTTCTGCACTTTTTCCAGAATCCCAAATACTTTTTTCATACTTTGAGGACCAGAACAAATTGCAGTTTTACAAATGTGGTCTTACCAAGACTTTGTAAAGCGGTACGAGAACTTCACATGATCTTCAACCTATCCCTGTATTAATGCAGCCTAGGATTGCTTCTTCTGAGGAAATCCCCAAAGATGTTTTTGGATACAACTTGGCCTTGTAACCAGTCTATATTCTCGATGATGATTGTAACGATGATGTTACCCATTCAGTCACACCTGACTCTTGGCGATTCCATGGGCCAGGTCTCTCCACATCTCCCCATCTTGCTGTGATGATAGGTAGGTCACAAAAGTCACGAAAATAGGTGAAGTACGTTTAATTCCTTCATCTTGGCCTCCAAGGTCCAATTATCATTGACTGGAGAAAAAAACTCCCCCATGAACAATTGCGAAAAGGAAGAAATGCCGTTCAAACTCAAAATACATATAAAATATAAATGGAAAAAAACAACACAAAACACACTGAAGCGATTAATGAGACAAGGCAGGATAAGAGCTTGAACACGTTCACAGATATCGAAATACACACACTGGGAAGGACGCCAAACTCAGATAAGAACGGACAGACTAGAATTATTTCACGCTTTGCTTCCAGCACTAGGCCATGTGCAGATTGTCCTTTGAAAGAGTCCACCCAGCTGCAGCCCATGAAGGGGATCAGGACCCTTTCCTCCCCCATAGACCATGCCATTCACTTTTCTCCCTTATCCACTCCTCCCTGGGTGCCTTAGGATGAAGAGTGGATGGGCCTGGGTCTTCCTCTGAATTCCCAGCTGGCCTGTGCCCTTCCCCAGTTTCCTCCACAACCTGTGGAGCCACACTCCCACTCCCTGTCGGCTGTTCCTCCTCTCCCTCGGAGTCAGATTCTAACAGGGGCATGACACTTGCACTACTTCTTTGAGTTTTTCTATTCTCTGGCTCAAGGTGTCAGCTTTGATGGTGTCCAGCAGTTATGGTGTCCATCATGATGTCCCAAAGGTGCTTTTTTCAAGAAGCAACTGGACTTTCTGCTTGTTTGTTTTTCTTTGAAGACATTTGCTTCTCATCCAAGAAGCTTTTTCAGCCCTGACCAGGTGGTGGGGAGTAGAAGGATTTATACCCCTTGCAGACAGCTGGACATTTGCATCCTTGGTGGTTGAGGCCACCTGGAGGTTTATCTGTGTTGTATGTCCATCTGTGTCCAGGTGGCCTCAATGATTCTCTAAAAGGAAGCAAATGACCAGCTGTCTGCAAGGAGTATACATTTTTCCATTTCCCACTATCCAGTCATACCCGAAGAAGCTTCTTGGATGAGAAGCGAAACATCTTCAAATTAAAACCAGAAAGTCCAGTTGCCTCTTGAAAAAAGCACCTTTGGGACATCCATGACCTGGAATGACTGAGAATCTCCATAGATATCTCCATCATGTTCTTTGGAGGCCTGGTTTCCTCTTCCCAACATAATTGCTTGCTCCATCTCTATTGTGTGATATGACGAAAATAAGCGGGACACAGTTTTGTGAATTTTCCTTGCTAAAGTTATGCATTTCAGCACTTGATTGTTGGTCTCCTTTACTGTCCAAGGAATTTGCAGGAGCCTTCTCCAGCATCGTGTCTCAAATGAGTCAATTTTCTTCCTGTCTTGCTGTTTTAATGTCCAACTTTCACAACCCTAGATAGCTACAGGGAACCCAGAGAGAGTGGACTATATTTGGTTGCCAGGCTGATGTTCTCACTTTTCCATGTTCAGCTTCTGTTCATCATTTCTCTGTGACCCCAGTGCAATCCTCTGTTTTATTTCTGGGCTGCATGTACCGCTTTGAGTGATCTGCAATCTTAGGAAAGTGAATGAAACTATCTTTAAAATTAACTTCAACCTTGACTCTGTCATATATATATATATATATATATCCATGCTGCTCAAATTTCAGGTCACGTCCTTCTAACTCTGAGAGTCTTCTGCTTCTTTCATCCAAAACAAACCGCAAGCCGCAAAATATCATTTCAAACCAGGAAGATCCAATCCTTTCCTTCTCATCTTGTAATGCCTTATTTTTAACTTGTGGTTGTTTTTTTTTCCTTGCCCCCTGACCTAGAGATTTAGATCTGTCCTTCTGCTTCAACGGGGCATCAATTGTTGGAGAAGTACTCTCACTTTATCTATTTTCTGAGTCCATCAGACTGATGTGACACACGAATATGCTACCGTGTTTCTCCAACAATAAGGCCTCCACCAATAGGAAGGCCCAGCATGATTTCTAGGCATGAGGTGAAATTAAGCCCCGACCCCCAAATTTAGGCCTATTTAAATCATGCATTTCCCCACCATTTCTCACATCAGTCGTTAGAACTACACGAGATGAAGAGAAATGGGGGGGAAGGGCGGGGGAGGGGAGAAAACCTCCCTTTAGGAGTGCCCCGCAGGTAGCCTAGGCTAGAATATCCCAATAGCCGATAGAAGCTCCCCAAGTGCAGTCACCAGCCACTTCAGGGCGTGGCATGGCTGCCCGTGTCCCCTCGCCTTTAGGCAGTCTCTTTTGGGTGACGGAAGCTCCCCAAGTGCAGTCACCAGCCACTTCGATCGGC